ACAAGTAAGTAGAGCAATAAGTAGAGCTTATTACTTTAATAATTTTTAAATTTGAAAATGTTATTTATTTTTTTTTTTTCTAAAATGTACTATTGTTCATGTATTACAAGTGGGGGGTGGGAGCTTTGCAATAGATAAAAAATAGAATATATTGAAAAGTATGGAAAGTAGAAAGCTCTACTTGTAGGCCTACTCTCTAAAATGGATGAACAGGTCTAGATGTAGAACCTCTATTTCTTAAAGAGTAGGCCTAAAAAATTTATATATATATATATATATATATATATATATATATATATATATATATATATATATATATATATATGTATGATTATTCCAAGATTCTTCAGTAAAGAACATGGACTAATATAGAACAATGAGCACTCAAAGAACGCTTTGCATGAGTAAAGGGTTCTTTGCATGGTGAAAGGGCTCTTCCAACTGATTGAGAATGTGCTGTAGATGGCTTTGTGTAGAACCTTTTTCAAAAGACTTCTATATAGCACCAAAAGGGTTCTTTTGTTGTTACAAGCTTGACATCAAAACACTAGCAGAACCCTTTTTGTTGTTATATAGAACCCTTTTCACAAAGGTTCAGTGTAGAATCTTATTACCATATATGCCATTTTCTTTACTAAAGAGTCCTTGAAGAATCATCTTTATTATGAGTGTACAGCTTATTACCATGCAATATGTACTATTGTTGGCATATTATATATCATATAAGTGTGGTGGGGGGATACATAAACAATAGCACATATTGGAAAGTACTAAGCTCTACTTTGTAGGCATACACTCAAATAAAAGTTCCTAAATGTGTCATGGCCTGGATACAGGTCCATTGACAGAACCTTTGTGAAGGTGGTTCTTTTCTCAGAGAATTAGAACAGGCCCTTTCAGAGTCAATTGCACAGCACTAGCTGTATAAAGCTCACAAGCTAATCAGTACTTTGGTTGGGGTCCATGCAGTCCAGCCGTGCAGTGAGTCAAACTTGTGGTTCTCCTTTGGTGTAAGATGCAGTGCGATAATGTCAGTGTTCATAACAAGAAAGTTCAATATAGCTGATGACCAAACCTCATCATAAGACGTAAGCCTATCATAAATCGCAACAAACCAGCATTTCTCCCAGCGTGGCACTTGCCCGGGTCATCATGAGTCCAGCAGTAACAAACACTTTTGAAGGCCAATAAACAGATGCACTTTGGTTTATACAGGCAGCCACAGAACATCTGGCTCGACGCTGGGAGCTTGACAGCCAGACATTTCTTCCAACCACGACCTGTGGGAAGCCAGGGGCTCCACACTATTGGGAAAAAGCTCTGAAGTGGGTGGGATGGGTTAGAGTTTGTAAATGGTTACTGCAAGACACCCACAAGTGGCCAGAACATGACCAACAGAAGCTTCTAAGAAGACACACACTGCAAGACTAACGTGTTACAGACATGGAGTACTTATCTGCCATTGCAGCAACAGCAACAAGCTCAGCAAGAGGATCAATAACAACAAAAAATAGCAGCAGCGACAATGGAAATGAGGAAATGACAATAAAAAAAATAACATACTTAACTTTCAGTGTAAGTCATTGTGACAGTTTTGTTCTAAGTCATTTTGGACTGTTTCTGTTGGCCATTTGTCATGAAATTTTGGCACAATGCAAACAAAAGCTGGCAAGAATAGGCTTTTTTTTTTTAAAGATTTAAAAAAATTCTCCATATAGCACCATAAATGGTTCCACGATTGTCACAGAACCTTTCATTGCTACTACATAGAAGCCTTTTTGCTGAAAGTGTATAAAAAGTAGTGCAATAACTCTACTTATCACTGCTATTGGAAGAAAACCTCGTATAGCCATTTTTGAAGTTTTTCAGTTTTTGATATAATGTGAAAATGCCTGTTACCCTTTGCATTATGTGTAAATTTTGTGAAGAATGGACTAAAAAAATGACCCAAAATGACTTGAAAAAAATTCTGGTTCCATTGACTTACATTAAAAGTAAAGTATGTTTTTACCTTCTCCTGTAAAGTTACCATTTTGGAGATACAAGGTTTTCTTCTGGCAACAGCGATATGTTTTTTCACACTAGGCACAAAATGTATTTAGCTGCTCAGAAGCATAGAGACATTGTGAATTACACTTTTGTAACAAACATATTAGACATATTATCTTAACCGAGTCGCTGCCCTCGATATGGATCGCCTTTCTCAGACTGTTCATTAGACTTGAGGACTTTGAGAAAGAGAGAGAGAGGGAGAGAGAGAGAGAAAGAGAGAGAGAGAGAGGGCAAAGGCAAACTACCGAGGGCAAAAAATGGAGACTGCTGCTGCGCCCAGGCGCGAGCTGTCTGGCCTCTTGCTCGAGGCCGTCATTAATTTGAGATTTATTTTGATTGGAGCGCTCCAGTCTCGCCTGGCCTTAACCAAACAAGCCCACAGCCTGGCCGTGGCTTCACTCTAATGCACCAGAATATTTCTGTGAAACGGGTGTTCAGGAGTGCCAGGCCTATTGCCACTTTCCACTCGCACTGCAACTGCTAGCAACAGTGCTGATCCACCAACTGCTCTCATACAGCTACGGTTTCCAGGATAGCTCAGTTACAAATTGAAAAATAATGGCCTGGAGCCACAAGTAACATGCAGACCACTTATTGAAGGCTCCTTTCATTCTGGCAAGAAGATGTTGCATTGTATGAAAAGTCAGAACATGATAAAGTCTGATTGCAACCAGGAAAATTGACCATCCATGGTCCAAATGCTGCTGCTAGGTTGAATGCGCTTTACACAATGTTGGCAAAACTTTTGTTCAAGCTTAAAATTTCCTATCTTTAGAATGTTATTTATGTTCACATATTAGCATTTGGCAGATGCTCTTATCCAGAGTGGCTCACATTTTTTAACCATGTTTCAGAGATACGACTATAACATTTGGAGTCTTGCCCAAGGTCTCTTGTGGAGCTCCTGCCTGGACGGGGAATTGAACCCCAGTCTTTCTCACGGATGGTGTTTTGTTTTGTTTTTTTTTTTAATATGGTGTTTATCCTGTCCTACCTTCCTAATTTCACTCGGCTACAACGACTGATGGGGGTGGAATCTCTCTGGGGCCTATGGTACCCCTCGAAATCTTTATTGGACCCCTCATATAGACACTAATACTATTGTCCCCCATGACTCACAGAAAGATCCAAATTTCTCATAGTTCTCCAGTTAGCTTTAGCATCAATGCTACACAGGCAGCCTCTTTTTCCAATATATCCAATATTTTCAAAATAATCTTTCACAAACTGTTATGTGATATATTCATTATGTTTCTTAAATATGTAGTTTTATATAAATAGTATATGCTAGTAGGTAGAGAAGCATTCCTTGAGATCGTCAACTTGATACATAATAGCAAGTAAGCAAGCAAATTATATTGTCATTTTTTAACTAACTATGTTTGACTACAAGATAGTCCAGCTTGGCAGCTTTTTAAATTGGAAATTTTTATGTGCAAATTCAATTATAGGATTTTGCCATGGTTCTTCAATGCATTTATGGGCGGAGCTTGTATTGGGTCAGTATTTAGAGAAAAGCAGAGTGTTTGAGTGTTAATGGAGCTAAAAGTGTTTGCACGACTCTCTATGAAAATACAGTCACACCACAGGTACGCTTCAATGGGTGATTCAGCAGTGGGTATTTCTAATAATCCAATGGCATTAGCATTTGTGGGGACCCCTTCTATGGACTAGGCCTGCTATTTGTTATTGAGTCCGGAGGGAGAAAGTGGGGATTTCAAAGAAAACGTTTTCCCCCAGCATTCCTAATGTCTCCAAACAGATCGTGGACTGTTCACGGGGCTGCAGCATTTGCACACTGTGGAAGTCTGCATGAAAAGCTCCCTTATGCAGGAGGGGGGTGGGGGGTGGGTAATAAGTCTCCATAACATAACAAGTCGGTCCTGGAAAGTATGCTGATTGTAAAGATATAATGAATGACTTTAGCAGGCACGGTATTTCATTTTCATGGCGCTGGGGCTGTACTTGGGATATATGAGGCCTATTGCTGCTTCTGTCATAAATCTACATTGCAAATATGCCAATGAGCCTTTCTGAACTTCGAAGAATGAAGGGACAACAATAACGCGCTGCTCCGAGCCGCCAAATAAATCATACAAGGACTGAGTGTGCACAGCATTAATGATTAAAAATGCCTGCACATCATTTGCAGCCCTTGCTGGGACCTGTTGACGTTATTATTGGCTCATATAAACGACAATGCAGGGCTGCGATCATTGCATAAGCGCAGAGGCTTCGATTCATCAGAAGAGCTTTTGCAACGTGAGAGCCAGATGTGTGCTGTTTACATTCTTCTGGAGGTGAAAAACCCACATTGTGTCAAATGTAATAACAGACATTAAAGGACACCCCCACCACCCTTGAAGGCATGCAGAGTAGCGCAGATATCACGCCAAACCCTTTCCACCAAGTTAAAATGCAGTTACTGACCAGTTTAACACTGCTGGACGAAAGCCAAAGCTGTAATTCTACCAGGTGAGGCCAACAGCCCTGCATTTCTAAAGCTGAGCACAGCAGACACATAATGAATGCACTGCTTGTAAAACCTCTCAAAATAAGGTATTATTGTTGTTGTTGTTGTTGTTGTTGTTGTTGTTGTTGTTGTTGCTGTGTGGTTGGGCTTGAATTTGTATCCCCCTCCTTTGGGGTATGTCTGTTCTTTCATCAGTTCTATTTATTCTTTTATGGAGACCGGGGGGCAATCATACAAAAAGTGATTTACACCACAATAATGTAAACATAGATTTGTTTATTACTGTCATTGTCATATGTTATTATCGTATTATTAGTAGTTTATTACCAACTATTTATGTGCTTATTCATTAACATATTTATGTATCTTTGTATATTATTTGGTTTGTGACCTCCTGGTAGAACCTGACAATTATAATGTTTGCTATTAGTGTTATAATCATTTGAAAAGGTTCTAGTGGGTGTCCTCCAATTACCTGCTGCCAGTAGCGTTGTTGTCTTACCTTGACGTAAGACGAAGTGTCTGGGACAGTCTGAAACATGGTCATGGGACAACGAGCCGGAAAATGGGTGACTTTCACTTCACGGCCCCTGGGAAAGATTAAACAAATATATAAATAATCATATCATAGCAGCAGTATGTCGCCGCTGTCAGAGCAAAACCCCATATCTCCAAAATGACAACTTTACAGGAAAAGAAAAAAACATACTTTACTTTCAATGTAAGTCAATGGAACCAGACATTTCTTTGGTCCATTCATCATGAAATTTACACATAATGTAAAGAGTAACAGGCATTTTCAAATTATGTCAAACACTGAAAAATGACAAAAAATGGAGGTACAAAGTTTTATTCTGACAGCAGTGATATATTTATATTTATAGGTATTATAAATACGTTAATAACCAACTGGTGTGATAATGTGTTTATAATTTAGCTCAAATAAAACAGCCCAGGCCTGAAAGAGCCACAGCACAGAAACGAATTCATTAATTCGTTCGCTTGTTCGTTCAGTCCTTCGCTCGTTCCCCTATAACAAGCTGGACTTCAGCAAAGGTTCTCTGTGTCTGCAGTGCTCGCTCTCTCTCTCTCTCTCTCTCTCTCTCTCTCTCTCTCTCTCTCCCTCTCTGCCCCTGCCCCGCGGTATTACACCGGCTTTTCTCTCATCATGGCGTGCATTCCTTAAATATTCGCAGCCTGATGTGTGTCAGTCAGGAGAAGCGGCAGCGATGGAGGCGGCAGATGCTTCAAGTGTTTGAGCCAGAGGGCGAGGCGCTCCGGCCGGTACTGACCACTTCCAGCCAAATAAAGAGCGGAGGCCACATTTGGTTCATGAGTTTATTTGACGAAGAGAAACAGAGCAGAAAGAGCCGAATAACTTCACTATTTCAGACCTAGCAGCCTCGGTGGTTTATTATTATTATTATTATTATTATTATTACTTTTGCCTTTTCTTTTTCTCTCTCTTTGTTTTTCTTGAATGAGGCAGATGTGGGCTAAGGCTGAGCACCCCTCAGGCTGTGCACATGTTGAAGCACTTTTCGCTTTAATAAGTGTAACAGAGTCCGGGGTGAGAGGGCAGTTCGGGGACGGGCATCTTCTGCCCTCCTCTCCTCGCGCTTCCACTGCACACTGGCACGAGCTAAAACACTACTGCAAACAAATAAATATATAAGCAAATAAGCAAGCAAGCAAATGAATAAATTAAAATAAATAAATAAATAAATAGTTTACTAAATGATAATTTGAATAAATAAATAAATAGTTTACTTATTTTTACATTTTTTGTAGAATAGGCTAAGCTTTAGCAATAGCTAATAATTCGTTAAAAATAAATAAATAGAAATATGCATTTAGACCACCAGTCAGGCATAGATAATATCATTAATTAGGCAAATAAGCAAAAAATGAATAAATAAATGAATGACATTTAGTTTATAATAAATACTAACAGTAAATAATATATTATATAGTAAAGAGTATAGTAAATAATGTTTTAAAATATGTGTATTTTTTTTACAATTATTTTGTAGAATAGGCTTCAGCAATAGCTAATATCGCAATTTATTAAAAATAAATAAATAAATAAAATGCATTTAGACCACCAGCCAGGCATTGATATTAGACAATCAATTAAGCAAATAAGCAATTAATAAATAAATGAGTAAATGAATAAATTTAGCTAAACATTTGTAGATATATACATACATATTCAATCCTTACACTCTAAGCAAATATTGTCTCTATGCAGTACCAAAATAAAGGTTCTTTTGGTGAACCATTGTCTCCATCTGAGACAAGAACCATCTACCTGTGCACAGAACCATGTACACATTCAGAGCGTTCATGGTTCTATGTATAATCACTGCCTTCACTGAGGAGCCCACTTTCTTGAACGTGCGCGTTACATAAATATTTGGCTTCTACAGCAGCAAAACAAGGGTTCTAAAAATGGGTTCTTTGAACCAGAGAAGAACAGTTTCACCGTACCATTCAAACCTCAAGGTTCTAGCCACATATAACCACTGCCTGTTCTGAAGAACCCTTGGATAACCCATTTTTTAAATCGTAAAGCCAAAACATCTGGTTCCTCGCGGAGTGACGAGTCACACTATTTGCCAGAGGTTAGCAGAGCAGTGATGAATGGGTCCACTTTCAATACCAAAAAAAAAGAGCAGGTTTCACTGCACCTCATAAACCTTCCCGCGTGTCACTGCGCGCAGAGAAGCCATTTTCGCTCGTGGCATTCCGATCCCATACCTGACCACAGCCTACCTGACTCCAGAATAAATTATTCTAAAGTCTTATAATGCGCTCGATTTATTCTTGCAGGGGGCCTCCACGTTAGACCCCGGGCTCCTGCCGGCCAGAACCGGGCCTCGCCTCATAAACTTTCCCAAATGCGTCCAATTTCGAGAGAGAGAGAGAGAGAGAAAGAGAGAGAGAGAGAGAGAGAGAGAGAGAGAGAGCGCAGAATATCCCCATCTGTAGCCAATTAGCCGGCTGGAGGCTCAGGAGGACCGTTAACCAACGGCGTGGACTTTCCTCGGAGACACACAACGCGGGGCCTGCCAGCCTCTTATGTTACATTTTAAGCATCTTACCTTGCACGAAAGTGCGCGTGTTATCCGTCACAGAAGCGCGCGCTAACTGATGCCTCACGGCGAGGGCTTTCTGTCAACGCACGCGACGACAAAACGCCTCGCAGGATGGACGAGCACGCCCACAAACCCCCAAAAAATGAAATACCACAATATTTTTTACATTTAGCAAAGTGCAACGAGTGATTTAAATAGGCTAAAAACAACATTAACGCACTCGCAAGACCATCCTCCACCTTCTTATTCGAACTGTCCGTTCCACCTTAAATGGTGCAGTAGGTAATGTAACTGCTGCACCATTTAAGGTGGAACGGACAGCCCGAACAAGAAGGTGAAGAATAAGAAACCAGCTTAAGCTGCATATCAGAAAACGCAAGAATAGCGACCACCACAGTCACGACAGCTTTACACCTCGAGACGAGAATGTCACATACCTGTCAGTCGCGCGCTTTAACGATTTTTCCCCACACTTGAAATAATAATTAGTCCCGTCTATGAGAAAGTCCGTCACCATGAATGACAGTGAGTTATTTGGAGGAGGCGTGTGAGCACAGGGGTACGCATGAATGGAGAGGCGGCGGCCAGCTGACCAATGAGGTGCCCTCCCCCTCTCGCAGCTGACCAATGACAGGCTTCGGCCCCGCTCGCGCTGACCAATGAGGGGCTCCCTTGCGCGCCAGCTGCGAGACCGTTGAACCGTGTAATGAAGGGAAATCTGAGTGAAACTGGAACAGCACCATAAAAAAAAAAAAACGTAAAGTGGGAGTTTTATGCTCGGAGGACACCCGAGCCCCTTCCGCAGCACCTCCTCAGTGTCAGGAGCGGAGAGCTGCGTACCTCCGAAATGAGACTTTTCCAGCCGTTCCTTAAGGGGTTTGAACTCTCGGGGCAAATAACATGCGGCTAATTGAGTCTACAGTGCCGGTCAAAAGTTTGGACACACCTGACTTAATGGCTTTCATTCAAAACATTTTGGTGTAAACAGCGTGTTTCCCAGGCGAATATAAGTGTTGACATTGAGGATGCCCAGTGTCCAAAATAGCTAAGTAGCCCTATTTGGAAAAACAAGGTCAATATTTCCATATATGTTGGAATAATCCCATATTTATTTAGGAATTTATAGTTTTCATGCTTTCATTTCTTAATTTTCCAAAAATTGTGAAAGTTGTAAAAACAAATAAACCAAAAATATAGGCGTGTCCAAATTTTTGACTGGCACACTCTTTTTAAAAAGATGGTTCTTCAAGAGGTTTCTTTAGTAATGACAGTGGTCCTAGAACCATGGACCTTAAAAGAACCATTTGCATGCTCTACAGCGTTCTTATTATGATGAAGAATTTCTTCAGCTGGATGAGGAATGTGTGAAATGGTTCTGTATAGCACCAAAAACGGTTTTTCTATTGTTACAAGCTTGACACCTTAACAAAACCAGAACCCATGTTGGTGCTGTAAAGAGTGAGGGTATATGCAGAACCATTGTCATTATTGAAGAACTCTCGGAGAACCATCTTTTGGAGTGTAGAGTAGATTAGGCTCCCAAACGTTAGCATTAATTTTATTCTTTAACTTCAAGTGAATTTGTGGTATAAATTAAAATTCAGTCTAATTTGGCTTCATATTGTTAAGATGACTTGCTAAAGCAGTTTTAGACGCAAATCAGCCTAACATTTCTGTACAACATTCAGTGATTGAGATGTGACGTAATTCAGAGTGGTTTGATGTGAAATGGTTCATTGTGATGAAACTTACAGACACAGATTTCTTTACAGTGGTGCTGATAGGAACCAGGAGTCATGATGTTTACAACACAAATAATAATTTCATCAACTTTCTACACCTCCAGCGACTCTTGTGATTTTTTTATAAGTTCATTATGATAAAATAGTCATAGAACATTTCAAAGCATAAAGTTGACTTGGGAGGTCATTTGACCTTAGAACAACCTGCATATACTTTTAGAAATACATTTATGGCCAAAGGTTTCTCAAATTTTTAATTGATCATTATTATTATTATTATTATTATTATTATTATTATTATTATTATTTTATTTTTGGATAACTTTTAGAGGTGGACGTCTGGTTCCTATCACCACCACTGTGAACAATTCTGACTGTAAGTTTGGAGCGTTTGAACGCCGTTATTTATATCTTGGCCATTTAATAATGCTGGAATTTTGGAATTCCCCTGCACTAAAATCAAATGTCACTTGTAATTTAAAACGCAGTAGTAAAATTTAATTGAACACTTAATTTGTCGGCACGTCATAAAATGTCCCGCTAATGGCGTTTATACAGCGTTATTCCGCTAATAGGCGCTATATCTGAATGACGTCAGGTCTTTGTTGACAATTCGCCGTTCAGCTATTAAGAAAGCGCTTCGTAATGACTTAAGTGTCACTAAACATTTCTCTTTTCGCCGCAGGATCGCCTTGACCACCTGCGGTTGGCTCTGGATGGTCAGCGTGTCATTCACTGACCGCCACACTTGACTGACTCCATTTCCTGCGCTGCGCCACATCGTCCACCCTAAAAGCCGAGACAGGCTGGACAGTTTATGGCGCGTTAAGCTTAATGACATTTTTGTCTAATTGAGGAAGGAGAGTTGAAATGAATTTGAACTTATTTTTTTAATTGCTGTGCTTTAAATTAGATTATATGCTACAGATATATTTAAAGATTTAAACATAAAAGGTAAGCAAGCCAATTTCTTCAGAGTTCAACTAAACCCACTAAGTCTCTTAGCAACAATTACGTAATAGGAGATCATAAATAAATTAAAATATAATTCCCAGTGTGTTTATTATGGCAGAACATTTGTATCTTGATGCTTAGAGAGGATTCTGCCTTGTATAACAAGGAGAGAACAAAGAATTAAATATTATATATATTTTTTTGCACTGATATCAAGTCCTTATTTTGCATTTACAGAAAGCTGTGTTAAGCCTTCAGTGGCATATTGCAAAATAAAAGGAATGACAGGAATATTTACTAAATTCTATTATATTTGATCAAAAAGTGGACAGAACAGAGAAATCTTAGACAGATTGTAACACATTGATATGCATAAATGAATAAATAAACAGCTAATGACCATTCTAGAAAAGTCAATTGGATTAAGGGAAATGATAAAAATGAAGGGAAATTCCTCTCAAATGTCTAAACACATACTCATGGTTTTGTTTCATTGTTTGAGCCACATTTCTGAGCAGCATGGGGTGTGTTGATCAAACGAGTCGAAGAATTCCTGTTTCAGGGTTTGCAGTGTGGTTGATCTATTCATGAAGCTGAATAATGGCAAAAACATGATAAAAATGCAGCTTATAAACAAAAATCCTCTCAAACTACATAAAGAAATTACCTTCAGAGATGGTTAAATGGGAATTCCACCGATTTCTCAAAATTGCTGCATAATTCAGTGGTCAAGATGTAAACAGAGTCATTCAGAGTGGTTTGATGTAAAATGGTGCACTGTAGAGAAACTTACCTGCTCAGATTTCTTTACAGTGGTGGTGACAGTAACCAGGGGTCCTGATGTCTACAACCCTAATATAGCCATTTTATTTTTATTTAAAATCTGGCAAATGAAATTTGGTTTTGAGAGAAATGATAAAAATGAAGGAAAATTCCTCTCTATTTTAGCTCAAACATCCTGCATGTATCCCTCCACCATAAAAACTAAAATAATAGTTAAATGATGTCTCAGGCATCCGAGAGCACATTCATAACCATTTAATGTAATAGTTTTCTCTGAGGAAGCTTTTAGAGGTGGACAGAGAATGGAGCACCTCTAAAACAGAGCATTTTGCACCAAACCACTGTGAATGACTGTTTACATCTAAACCATGTAATTATGCAGATATTTATAATTAGAATTAAAATCTTTAAGACAGATTATACTTTACTATTTTTGTTGGACAATCTTTGTGTTGTTGGCAATTTTGTTTCACATCCCAAAACCACAGTTTACCAGAGAAATTACACTCAGGCCTATTTAGGCCTAATTCATATAATATTCTATATTAATAAGCCACCAAGCTGATAGAAGCACTGAAACTCTGATAGCCATCTAATTAACATAAAAAGCACTATGTACTTGTAGTACCTACTATTCTTCTCTAAGATTCAAAAATAACTCCTCCTTGGAGAACTTAAGCAATGCCTTCTAGGCGATATAAGAAATATCCTTGGCATCATCAAACCAGTTGCACAGCTAGAACGTGTACACTCATGTTCTTTAAGAGTTCTTTGGTAAAGCCAATGGTTGTATATAGAACAATGGCAACGTGAAGTGCTTTTTGAATTTTTCTTTGCCTGGTTAAATGGTTCTTCTTAATGACAAAACCTCTTGAATATCACTCTTTAAAAAAACTTTTAAAAATATTTCTAAACAGCACCGAAAATGTTCCACTAACCCTTTTTAAAGAACCCTTTTTTAGTATTGTATAGAACCAATTTTTCTGAGAGTGGCTTACTTCTACTGCTACTATATTACTAGTTAGTACATTCTTTAAAAAAGGTGCCATAGAAGAATGTTTGGTTCTCAAAGAACTAAATAAATTCTGACTGTGAAAAACCTGTTAAAGGACTAAAGAACCTAGAGAACCTTCACATAGAGTTTCTATACCAGTTCCTAGAATCTTTACATTAGATGGAGTTTCTTGAAACTTTATAAATGTTCTTAACACTCACATGTCTGTTTGGTTCTTTAGGGAACCATAAGTGCTTCTTCAAGTTTGTTTTCCAGAGTTTACTAGAGAAATTATACTCATTTAGGCCCACTTTATATAATATGCCACGAGACTGATAGAATCATGCCACTGAGGTTCTATGGTATGTTTTGGCTTCTTTTTGGAATCTTTATATATCATAGAGGTTCTTTTAAGTTTAAAGGCTCTTCACAAGGCTCTTAGTAGAACCAAAAGTGGTTGGCAAAAAATGAACTGTCCATTGAAAGGTCAATCTTCAGAAGTGCAATAATGTTAAAACCAAGAACATTATTATCTCAATAATTAAGATAGGTATGTCCTTATTCAAATTAGTCAAAAACAAGCAATTACAGTACAGTTCAATGAGCAGCAGTCTTCTAGTCAGACAATATACCAGGCAATACATTTAAATCACATAAAAAATGCATGTCTAGTGACTCATTTATATGGGTTTCTTTCAAAGACCATGTTTGCTGCCAATGGCCGATGGTACATAGTCTTAAACATATATATTTTTTTTATTATTTATTTGGAAATAGATTGTTTTCTCCTCTAATGGCAAGAAAAATCTAGTGGACAACTTACAACTATTAAGAAAACACCTTTGTAGATGAGCAAGTTCTTATACAAAGTGTTTTGTCCACCCATTTCCCAGCAAGATCACATGAATTCTTTCGAACAATGGCAGGAAATTGCCACCTTAGCCTGACAGGAAACATATCCGATAACTAGAGGTGGTCATTGCTCCTGGATTTGTCCACATGGAAATGCGCATTTGTAAGCCAACAGACTGTTATCACTTGTTTATCTTTGTAATATGAGCTGCAT